GGTCTTTTTTTAGACGTGTCATGCTAGAGAATGAGAGCAAAAACCCAAAGTATGGAGTCTGCTCTCTTTTCTCCTCTTTCCCCAGCCTACCAATTATATCTTCTGTTATTTTCCAGACAGTAAAACCAACTGCTGTCATGCTAGAAAGTGGTGCTCTGTCAGTGTTGGGGCTGACTTATGACAACCAGTATTTAAACTATACTGTATCCTGTGCAGCGGTGTCAGCAAATTTCCTGAACGGTTAAATCCCTGTCACTTTCTGCCACTCCCAAATTCCCATGGAAATTCACCACAAACTGCGGTTCTCGGAAGTACCTCTAAGAGATGGAAATGACCATAACCACAAGGCTCTAAATGTTCCTGCAGTGGTTTAGAAAATTACTAGAGAATGGTTTTAAAAAGCTGATCCAGCACCTTGTGGGAGTCGTAATTCAAGCTCACAGAAAATGCTAAGCTATGATGTGAGGACGCTGAAGGATGCACTGGATGGTGGTGATGAACTTGCAAGGAAGACACACAACTGCTGTGTGCATATCCAAGAGCCACATTTTTTTCCCCCTAAGTCCTTGGATGGCAGAAGAAGTTGAAGATCAGGGGTCTTGAAACTTGGCCCTTTTATGACTTGTGAACTTCAACTCCCAGAATTCCTCAGCCAGCGTGCCTGGCTGAGGAATTCTGGGAGTTGAAGTCCACAAGTCATAAAAGGGCCGAGTTTCAAGACCCCTGTTGAAGATTCTCTTTGTCTTCAATGATGTAAAGCCTATTATAAAGGTTAGCCTCTGTAGTAATTCTAACATAACAATTGTTTTGGTTTGTATGGAACCTCCCATTTCTTCTGAGTATCTATGAAAAGCGGTATTTAATTCATTTATTCAACTTTATGGCTGTTTAACCACTATGACAAATAAATTACAAACAAGCCAAAAGGGAAAACAATTCGTAACAAAACAGCAGGCAATTTTGCAATGGGAGATACTAACCAAAACATTCTACTTTACTTCCTAGAGTTGAACTCGCTCAAAACTCTGGCTCAATGCCCAAAATTAAGTTCCTAAGAGCCTTAGAAAAGACAAATTGGCTTGGCAGAAGGCCTCATAAAGCTGCTCTGTATGCTATTCAAGACCTTGACATTTTGTGATAGACAATTCTGCAACTACCAAACTGCAACTTGGGGATCATATGAGCATCCTTATGCCACAATGGATGAAATGGCTTGATTCAAGATATACATCATGGTTTAGCATTATGTGTGAACCAGAATTAATGGTGAGTCTGGAAACCACCCTTTGCAAACGGAGAGCCAATTCAGCATCACATGAGCACAATTTTCCCTTATCAGTTTCAACCATATTTGATCATTCACCTGTTCTGTTCATAAGTATATTTCATCCTTCTTCTGAACAACCCTTTGTTGTTAAACAATATTATAAAATTAAATGGAAATGTGTTAGCTGAACCGATAATGGCTAGGGAACTGTGTGTTATTTGTACACCTACCCCACTTGCAAAATATAACCCTATGAAGCTAACATTGGATCTGAAATAAACAATAAACAGAGCAGCACTGTGAAAACGTAATACAAAACACACGAATAGAAGCAAAAAAAGCCAGCATGCTCAAAATCTTAAATCAATTTTCCAGACAGGCTCATTCAATACCCTTACCCAGTGCTCCCAAAAATTAAGATTTAAACTTTACAGAAGGCCACAACCACCAATCTTCACAGGTAATTAGGATTAGAATCATGTTCTCAATAGGTGTTAGCATCAGGCTGAACTTATCTGGTTTGGAAATTAAGTAGGTCAGCACTTAGAAAACAAACCAATAGGAAATTATAGGGCTGTGGACTAAACTAGACTCTTTGTGTGTGTGTGTGTGTGTGTGTGTGTGTGTGTGTGTGTGTGTGTGTGAGAACATGCATGTGTCTGCACATGCATTTCAGTCAGGGTTGACTCCTGGTAATTGGATAAATCCTTACATTTTTCTTAGTAAAATTTTCTGGAACTTCTTTGCCATTGCTTCCTTCCTAGGGCTGAGAGTGTGTGGCTGGCTTAAAGTCACCCAACTAGAAATCATGGTCGCCTGATTTTTAATCACTAGACTAAGCGTCCCCAAAGAAAGCAACAAGGAAATAAATCCAGTTGCCATGACGTGACTTTCAGGCAACTTTTCCTGGATGACTGAGAATCTTCATCAACATATTGCCACGTACTTTGTAGAGGAAACTCTTGAGGTTAGCTCAAGTCATATATTCCAATGACTCTTTGCCTAACTAACTTGCTCTGACTAATGAAGCTGCTTGGATGAGCAGTGAAACATCTCAAACCAATAAGAAAATAAGTGCAGTTGCTATGACTCAACTTTCGGACATTGTTCTGTATCGTTTACCATTTTGATTTTAAGATGCTTACAGTACTGTGGATTTTTTAAAGTCGTTTTTCTTAAAGGAACATTTTGTAAAGATATAAAATAGAAGAAGCAATAGAAAAAAGATTACTCAAAGGGTAAAATAAAGTGAGTGATAAAAAGTAAGAAAAAGATATTTAAAGTATTGAAGAATATTCTTTGTAGCAAACTGAAACCTAATAATTACCATCTCCATCCTCCCATATTGTATATCATAGTTCCCTTCTTAAATAATCTTTTTATTCAATAAATCCCACAACCAACAGTTCATTTTTATCTATTTTCAACAAAATGTTTATAAAAGTTGCATATTGTGAATGTTGTAATTGTTTGTTTTTATTGGACTGCTGAAACCCGCCATGATTCCTTATTGATTCAGTGGTATACAAAATAGAATAAATAATTATGTATCAAAAGGGTACGCTGCACAACTTGAAACAACTCTGAGCAGCCCACAATTATTTAAAGCATTAAAACAAGACCTTAAAAATGACAGGAAACAAAAAGAAGAGTGGATATGGCAGGATGACAAACTGAGTGGAAACAAAAGAAAACAACCTGAATTAAAAGAAGGCTTCAAAAAAAATAAATCAACAGGAGAAAGGAATAACTAAGAAGACTACTTCGCAAAATTTGTGGGATTTAGCACAGATTACAGTTTAGCGCAATAATTTCATTCTAGAATGGGGAATTATTCTTTTGTAGGGGAAAAATACAATACTCAATTTTTTTTGCTTGGGCCATATAGTTGATTATGTAACCTTCTAGATAACTTAACAGAATAACAGAATTGGAAGGGACGTTGGAGGTCTTCAAGTCCAAACTCCTGCTCAAGCAGAAGAGACCCTACACCAGGGGTAGGCAACCTTGGCTCTTTTATGACTCGTGGACTTCAACTCCCAGAATTCCTGAGCCAGCCATGCTGAGGGGAAAGGGAGAGGTTTCCATGCTGAGCCATGCTGGCTCAGGAATTCTGGGACTTGAAGTCCACAAGTCATGAAGGGGCCATAGTTCCCCCATGCTGGCTCAGGAATTCTGGGAGCTGAAGTCCACGAGTCATAAAAGAGCCAAGGTTGCCTACCTCTGCCCTTCACCATTCCAGACAAATGGCTGTCCAATCTTTACTTGAAAACCTCCAGTGTTGGAGCACCCACAATCTCTGGAGGCAAGTCATTCCACTGATTAATTGTTCTCTCTGACAGGAAATTACTCCTTAGTTCTAGGTTGCTTCTCTCCTTGATAAGCTTCCATCTGTTACTTCTTGTCCTGCCTTCTGGTGCTGTGGAAAATAGGCTGACCCCCTCTTCTCCGTGACAGCCCTTCAAATATGTCACCCCTAGTCCTTCTCTTTGTTAGACTAGAGACCCTGTTCCCGCAACCAAGAGATTTCATTTCATTTCATTAATTTCATGAAGCTAGCTCAGGCAATTTGAAACATAAACTTTACCGACTGAAGTAAAAGGATCTGTATTGCTTCATCTAGTTTTTGACTACTATTCAAAACATCACAAAGGTCCAAAACCCTTGAGAGGACTAAGCCTTTTCTTCTGCATCTTTCAACCGATTTTGTGTTTTGGTAACTATCCCTGCTAATCAAAGGTAAACTAAGTGAAATTGCTCCACAGCTGGCATGCATAAACAATGAATGTCCATGACATCTGTCTGTGGGAATAAGCTTTGGAATTAAGATGCATATTTTAAGGATGAACGTCCTTCCTTTGCGTCAGCCTTTACTACGCCATGTGAAATTTGGTTGGCATCTCTTTGGGGGGAGGGACTTATTTCAGTTCAAAGGTATTTTTCTGCCAATATTTTCTCCTTATGGGTGTAAATTCTAGGAAAGGGGCACACCAAAAATACAACCTGCATTTAATGGACCACAAAGATGGTCCTTCAGGCTAATTCAACAAGGCTCTTCTGTTTTTTCAGCACCTAACACGGTAAAAAAAGCAAATGCTGCAGTTATGCCACCTTCAAAACAGTACAGAAGTTTCCGATCATATTTTTTCACAGCCTGTGTGAATATAAAATAACAAAAATAAATATATAATAAGGACTATGCTCTGGGAAAGGTCAAGAACTCCCTCTTTGGTCTCAATTACTTAATGACATGCTTTGTTGGTTTTCATTACTCTGGCGAAATAGAAAATGAGTCAACGTCTTTGTAAACTTTATCGCTCAGGTCAGATGCCCTGATCAGTCTGAAAAAAAATGCAGACCGTCTGGGACTGTTCTAACACAATCACTGCTTTACAGGCCCTCAAATTTGCCCCCCCTCCTAATCTCATACCCTTTTCCATGACACGGCTGACCTCTTTCATTAGGCCATATCCTGAAAGTTTGGCTACTTTTGTCCCCAGAGGTCAAAGTTGACTAGCTTTCTTTGACCTCGGTCAACATCAGACTTTCTGATGTTTGAGCCTGAGAATTTAGAGTCTCAGCCTTCTGCTTGACAAAGATCAGAAGGAATCAGATCTTTTAGGTATCTGACTTGAGCTCCTTATGCTGGTCACATCGTTGGAGAAATAAAAAAAAGGAGCTTTGAATGGGGAGAAAGCAAACAAGACTGGGGGACATGAGAAGTGACACTCACCATTGCAAGAGCAGCGGACGTTTCGGTAGAATCGGGGACACACAAAACTAATCCTTGCCGTGCTGTAAGTCATCAGGGAATGGGAATCGATAGACAGATTTTGCTCACAATGCTGCTCCTGACAATCCAACCCAGAGCAATTCTTCTCGAGGATGGCAGCGATGCGAATCACATTTTCCAAGTGTCGCCTTGCATTGGTAAGCTTCTGAATCAAGTAGGCCGGCTTGTAGAAGCCGCCGGTGTGCATCTGAACCGCGAATAGCATGTCAAGCTGATTGCTACCTGCCACGGGCTGAATACTGATGATGTGCAAGCTATCTTGCTTTTGGGTGAGGACGGCGTTGCGCAGGGTACGCCTGAAGCCATGCATGTGAAGACCCACAAAATCCTCCGGGGAGATGTTCTCAAAACGGATCGTGACGGTGTTCTGCAACATCTCCTGGGCTAACTGCTCGACGTGGACGGTCACATCCATGGGGACCTGGAACCGCCCGTCGCTGACAGATACATTCAGGATATACTTCCCATTGTCCAACCCTCCGAGGGCAATGATCTTTCCGTCGTGGTTGTTAACCTTGAACAAGCTTTTCTGCTCCGACTTCAGGCCGTAGGTGAGAACATCATATACATCTTGGTCTGTCGCATGGATCTTTCCGATAACACCTCCCGGGAAGTCATCTTCCATAGTCACAATAAAAATCTCCAGGGGAATGGCTGTTGGCTTGTGGATGCTTTCTTCGATCACCCGGATCTGAATGAAGGTGTGGGAGACCTGCTGAGGCTTTCCCGAATCCTTTGCCTAATTCAAGAAATGAGAAACTGAAAACTCAATGATGTCGCACAAACAACCCTTTCAATGTTGCCCAGGAAGGGAAACTAAAAATATCTGGGCAGCTTTTTCTTCAGAAGAAATTTCAAACTCTCCACAGCAAAAGGTTGATGGCAAATCTATAGCAGAACAAATAACAAATAAGCAGGACCCAATCTGGGACGGTCACCGGAACCAGAAGTTTAATCTTCCGAGCTTTTGGACTCATGCTGGAGCCCATCCTTAGGGAATCCTAAAGGTGCTTTGTCAGAAAACATCTGGACTTTGTTTTTCTTCGAAGCGTCTTGAGATGAGAAGCAAAACGTCTTCAAGGAAAAACAAAGTCCAGTTGTCTTTTGAAAAAGTACCAGAAGTAAATGCCGTTTTCTGGCAAAGCCATCCTAAATCATGATCATGTGACTGCAGGGAACTGCAAATAGCCATAAATTCAGACTATTTACTGAGTGCACAAAATGTAATCAGGTGACTTTGTTAGATCTTTAAGCTAGGTTGTAAGTAGTTTTTTGAAGGGTCCATCATAATTTCGAATGGTTGCTAAGCATTAAGCCATACGTTGAGGGCTACCTGTATTTGCAGTGAAGGTTCCTGGAAGGAGAAATAATACAGTATTGTGTAACTGGACTTTCTTCTCCACAGGTCCTCGACTTATAACAGTTCGCTTAGTGACTGTTCAAAGTTACACTGAAAAAAGTGCCCCCCAAGGCACAGCTGAGGAAGACGCCTGCCTGCCTGCCCGGCCGCACTCTTCCTCCTGTCATTGTTGTGAGCATTTCTGTTGAGGATTGGCAGTGGGGGTGGGGTGTTTGGTTTTTATTCACCCACCCCCATCTGCTGGGTGGTTGCAGCAGGTTTTGGTCATTTCACATGACCCTGGGACACTGTGACCGTCATAAATATGAATCAGTTGCCAAGCATCTGAATGTAAATCACAAGACCCTGGAGATGCTGCAACATTCCAGCTGATCGGCACTTCCTGGCTCAGCAGAAGCACCAGGATCAGTGCTGCTTTCCAGCTGATTGGTGCTTCTTCAGGGCTCAGCAGAAGCACCAGGAGCAGCACCGAGCTACAGCTAGAGCCTGGTGCTGATCCTGGCACTTCCACTGAGCCCTGACAGCCCCAAAGAAGCGCTGATCCTGGTGCTTCCGCTGAGCCCCGACAGCCCTGCAGCTCCAGCCATCTCTCGCTCAGGCTGTGCAGTGCTGCCACCGGTTCAGCTTATTCTCCTCCCCTGCTACCACTTTTCTAGGATGGTTGTGTACCACCTGCCAGGTGCCAATGTACCACAGGTGGTACCCGTACCACTGGTTGAAAAGCCCTGATCTAGATATATGCGTCAATGGGCTGTCTGTTATCATAAGCCAAGGCTTTTTTTTTCTCCTTGTAAGATGGGATTCTGAAGTGAGAGAAGAAAAACTGAGCATTTTTACAAAGTAAAATATATACTCTAGCTTTGAAATGCTCTTTCTCCACAAACCACTGTGTTTTAAAGTCATTCTTCCTCCCACATCCAATTTCTGAAACAAAGAATTAAGACTGGGTTTAGAAGGCTGAACATCACTCAAAGATGTCATTGATCATTTTCAGGCTGTGCCTTAGACTACAATGAAAATAATGGAGAAAATAGTTAAGAAAAGCACTTTAGACTTTCAACAGTGAAAGAATTCAACTGCAAGAATGCCAGCTTGCTAATGTTGAATTGGTAAAAAAAAATCACATTTCCAGTTATTTCTTGGTAAAAATGGAATACCCAGTTATAACAGGTGGCCTGCGCATAATTTGAAGGTACAGAACAGCTGGCGAAATCTTCCCCTTTTTTCTCGTGCAAGAGAAAATCTTCTCTTTGTGATCTATTTCCCAAATGGCAAAAAGCTGCAGCCAGAGTTTACAAGCTCCAAAACAGGATATCATATAACTGTTTATGGGTTTGATTGGCATCTATATTTTTATGCATGCAAATTATGGAATGCTCATAAAACTTAAATTTGGATTACAATCAGAATGTTGAGTTTTTGCTTACCTAGTAAAACAATATTTTGTGTGGGTTATAAGAAAAATGATGACATAAACAAAACAGAAAAAAGGAGAGAAATGTAAAGATATGAACATGGGAAGAAATAGCTTCTGATATTCTTCAAAGCAATTATAAGTACAATTATATTGAACCTCTCTCTCTAAAGTTACATCGAGACTGTCTTCTTTCTATAATCTATACCAGAGGGGGGCAATGAATTTTCCCAAGGGGCAAATAGCACTTAGACTTATATACTGCTTCACAGTGCTTTACAACCCTCTCTAAGCGGTTTACAGAGTTAGCATATTGCCGCCAACAATCTGGGTCCTCCTCATTTTACCAACCTCGGAGGGATGGAAGGGTGAGTCAACCTTGAGCCGGTGAGACTCGAACTGCCAAACTGCAAGCAGCCGGCAGTCAGCAGAAGTAGCCTGCAGTACTACATTCTAACCACTGCGCCACCAGGGCTCATGAGAAACCCAGACTGCTCATTGGGGCAGCCCACCTCTGCCCCAATGAGCAAGAATCCCAGGTCTGATCCGTCCGTCCATCCATCCATCCATCCATCCATCCATCCATCCATCCATCCATCCATCCATCCATCCATCCATCTATCTATCTATCTATCTATCTATCTATCAGGTCTAATCTCCAAAATCATAAATTCCAAGTTCATTTTCTTCATTTTTATGCTAAAAGTCTTATTACACCTTATAGCTCTCTGTCATATTTCCTCTTTTTCATTTCCTGTTTTCTAATTTAACCTGTATTTGCTCTGCATTATTTCTAGAGAACTACAGGTTGCGCTTGGCTTTCGACCACAATTGAGCTCAAAATTTATGTTGCTAATGAAACATTTGTTAAGTGAATTTTGCCCCATTTTACGACTTTCCTTGCCACATTTGTTAACTGAATCACTGCAGTTCTTAAGCTAGTAACACGGTTGTTATATGAATTAGGCTTCCCCCATTGATGTTGCTTGTCAGAAGGTCGCAAAAGGGGATCGCATGACCCCGGGACACGGCAACCGTCATAAATCTGAGTCAGTTGTCAAGCATCCAAATATAAATCACGTGACCCTGGGGACGCTGCAATGGTCATAAGTGTGAAAAATGGTCACGAGTCACTTTTTTCAGTGCCGCTGTAACTTCAAACGGTCACTAAATGAACTTTTGTAATTCGAGGACTACTGTACTCGCTCTTCAAACTTGTGCTGCTCTTCGAACTTTTAATATATATAAAAGGAAAGAAAAAACAATGACAGCCTTAGGATGATCAGCTTCAAAATTTCATTTTCCTGCAATGGATTTTACTTCACTTGAATAAAATTTAAAGATATACCGTAAAGTGTATTGTAAGGAAGATTGCTAAAAAAAAAAATCACATGAAGGTGATCACAGATACATGGGTAGGAAAGATGCTGGCTTAATAATGTTGTTCTGCCATTTTCTGCCGGGATGAACAAATCAACTGGTTACCTGGATGCACAGCACATATTCAGTGGCTACCATGCGTTTGAAGATGACGGCGGATCGCAAAATGCCTTGCTGGTCAAGCACAAATTCTTTCTCTTCGTTTCCAGCCAGGATGGCGAAGGTGAAAGGCGGGCCATTGTGCAGGGAGTCTTTATCCGTTACCACCAATTGCAGAATACTGGTTCCCACTGGCTTGTTTTCCTTTGTGCATCATCACAGAATGCAGCAGTGTTCAAAAGACAGAGGCAGAGAAAATGAGAGACAGAATTTTAATTATATATCTTGGCACATTGATGAGCAACATGTGAGAGTATGGCCTTTTGACAGCACACATGTTTTTTTTTTCGTATCGGCCATCTGTTATAAAATGTGCACTTGCCTCCCACTTTTGTACTGCTAGCATAACCTATAGACTGGTTTAGAGGACCACTTAGAGCAAGAATTATAGCCTTTAATTAGGGATGCATTTCCACTTTCATCTTCAGTAAAAGGCAAAGTTTTTCCTGCCCAGTCATGTCTGATTCTTGGGGGGGGGGTGCTCATGCCAATTTCCTGGCCAAGGGAACCAGTATTGACCGAAGGCAATTTCGTGTACATATGGCTGGCATGACTTTATGCCGAGAGGCTTGGAATGCTGTTACCTTCCCACCCAAGTGGTACCTGTTTATCTATTTGCATTTGCATGCTTCCAAATTGCTAGATGGGCAGGAGCTGGAGCAAGGAATGGGAGCTTGCCCCGTCGCACAGTGCTTGGGTCTCAAATTGCCAATCTTCCCATTCACAGCCCAACATCTTAACTGCTAGGCCAGTGCACCCCTCCATCTCCAGTAACCTGTTCTCTTTAATAACTCAACTCTAGGTTACTATATATTATCGGCAAGAAACAGAAGGGGCATCCTACCTTGGTTTCAATAATCTTTGCCAACTTTCTGAAATAGTTTATTCCATGTCCCTTTCCTGCTATCTATGTCAGTTTTTCTCAACCTTACAACCATTGTAAGAAGTATAAACTTCCAACTTCCAGTTAGTTGGAGTACATACATCTTAAAATGGCTGAGGTTGAGAAACACTGACGTAAATATGTTGCGCACCATTAAAGTGTGAGCAGTTGGTAGCGTTGATAGGACCAAAGTGTTTTATTACTATTTGAGAATGTATGTGAGTAAAGGAATGAGTACAAAAAGGCAGATCTACACTAATTTCTCCTTTCCCATATCTTATCCTATTGTCAATAGGTTAGAAAACCCAACTCTGCAGCTCAATACAAAACAACAACTCCATCTAAATTCTCCGAGATTTTGCAGAGACCTCCTAGACCAGGGGTAGGCAACCGTGGCTCTTTATGACTCGTGGACTTCAACTCCCAGAATTCCTGAGCCAGCCATGCTGGCTCAGGAATTCTGGGAGTTGGAGTCCACGAGTCATAAAAGAGCCAAGGTTGCCTACCCCTGTCCTAGACAAACAAGAACTTTTGAGTCTCATTCCTATTTATGAAGCAGCTTATGGAAACGGTGGCTTCCTTTCCTTGTAAAGAAAGATGTGACACGGTGCACTGCAACTTGATAAATCATCAATTGGAACTGAAATTGGATGCAAACATCTTTATATTCTAAAGGTCAGAAGAGCGGGCCCTTTGGGATGTGCTGGATCAACTTACCTGAACCACAGCTGTATAATTGGCAGGCGTAAAAACAGGACTGTTATCATTCACATCAGAAATGTCCACATTGACTGTCACTGTGGCTGTCAAAGGAGGTTTACCGCTGTCTTGGGCCTGCACGACTAATGAATATCCTGAAACCTGCACAAACATTAAAAGAAAAACCTTACATTAGTTGAGAAAAGGATCCAAATCCAAACCTTCTGTCTCTCTTTTTTTTATAATCAGTCTAGAGCAGTGATGGCGAACCTTTTAGAGACCGAGTGCCCAAAAACTGTTCCTCCCCACCATCCACTCCGCCCCCACTTCACCCACAGGGCCACCCATCGCCTCCATGGCCCATCACAGCAGATCGCCCAGGCGGCCCAGCAGCGCCATAGTGGCCACACCCTCCACCTGTGCCCCGCAGCATCTGCGCACAACAGGGCATGAGGGCAGAGTCTTGTCCCCACTGCCTGGCTGCCATGTCCTTGGCTGTGCTGCTCTGCACAGGCCGTGCTTGAGGGTGACTCTCTGGGGGGGGCTGCTGGTGAGGAGGGGTCCGCATGGGGAGGCAGAACTGGGGCGATGGTGTGTGTGCCCACAGAGAGGGCTCTGAGTGACACCTCTGGCCCGTTCGCCATAGATTCGCTACCACTGGTATAGAGAGCCAGCTTGGTCCAGTGATTAACGCTCCAAGCTAGAAATCAGGAGACCGTAAGTTCAAGCCCTGCCATAACCAGGAAAACTAGCTGGATGACTTTGGGCCAGCAATTCTCTCTCAGCCCAACCCACCTCATAGGGTTGTAGTTGTGTGGAAAATTGGAGGAGGAAGGGTATGTTCACTGCCTCGGGGTTATTTGCAAAAGTAGTACAAGTGTGGTACAAATAAATAAGTATACAAAAGTTGTATAAATTTTCCAGTAGCAGAATGGATTTCACATTTTCTATTCTAAGTGAAGGGTTTTTACTGGCGCAGCAATAGTAAACAAACAAATAAACGCATGTCCAAAAAAGAGGAGATAAAGAGAAAAAAAAATAATAAAGCTTCGGTCAGCTTATAAAGCACTGTCTTCTTCACGGCTGTTTTGGCAGCGTAGGTAAGTTTTTTAAAAAAGGGGATGTAAGACTTCTTGCCCTGAATTAGTTTGTACGTTTTTCCAATAGTGTCCGTAGGCTCTATGTTTTCCACATGTTTAATTCCAATTAACTCCACATTTCTAGGAAGAGAATGATATAGGGGGATTTTTCAAATAACGACAAAGCACTGCTGAATAAGAAAGAATCAATCCTGTAATAGCTCACAAATAAGAGGAATTCAGAAGAAGCCAGGAACAAGAATGGATTGTCGGATACAGTTTTCCTATCAAGAGCTTCTGACATCTTAATTTAACCGGTCTCCAATCTCCATCCTTAGACTGGTTAAAACACTTGTTTAATTAGTTGATGTTTGCTTTATTTTCCCTTCACTTCTCTCTCTCTCTGTGTCTCTCTCTCTCCTTCTCCATTCTACTAAGGTAGAGATGACCCATTTTTAGAGTACTTTACTGATATCTGTGGAGCCTTTGGGAGCCATGCAAACGGAAAGGACTGGTGATTAGTGTGGTACCACAGCCTATAAATATATGTGCATCTGCATAATGGCATGTACATCCGCTGTTCCATGCTGCTCTCATTCTCACAGAACAGATTGTTGGGTGGTCAGATTCAGATCTTCCACAGTTCTGATCCAGACAGCTGCTTCCCCAAAAGAAATTACAACACTGTTTGCTTACATAAACAGATAAGATAGTCCTCAACCAAAGCCATTCGTTTAGTGACTGTCTGAAGTTACAGGAGCACTGAAAAAAGTGACTTATGACCGATTTTCACACTTACAACCACTATGGTCATGTGATCAAAATTCAGATGCCTGGAATGTATTTATGGAGGTTCCAGTGTCCCCGGGGGTCTTGTGATCCCCTTTTGCGACCGTCAGATAAGCAAAGTCAATGGGGAAGCCAGATTGACTTAATAACTGTCTTACTAGTTTAACAACTGCAGTGATTCACTTAACAACGGTGGCCAGAAAGGTCATTAAAATTCACTTAACAACTGTCTTGCTTAACCACAGAAATTTTGGGCTCAATTGTGGTCGTAAGTCGAGGACTACCTGTAGCCTTTGATTTATGACCAGAATGGCGCCTGCCCATCGTAATCATAAGTTGTGACAATTGTAAGATGGTCTTTTTTGTGGTGGTGGTTAAGGAAGTTCTGGTTTTCAGCAAAACTGTAGTTAAAACGTGGTCACGTGGCCACAAGCAAGTGGTCATAAATGTGGCCCTGTTGCTGAGCATCCTAAGTTCGGTCATGTGACCATGAAAAAGGAGGAACTGTGAGCATTGAAATCCAGGTTATAACTAGTCTCAAGGTAGATCCATCGTAAATTTGAACAGTTGCTAAGCGATTGGTCATAAGCCAAGGACCACCTCTATATTCGCTTCTCATCTTCCCAGCCATGCAGTTGTGATGTTTGAAAGAGCATGGTTTTATCAACTAGATCAGGGGTAGGCAACCTCGGCTCTTTTATGACTCATGGACTTCAACTCCCAGAATTCCTGAGCCAGCATGGCTCAGCTTGGAAACCTCTCCCTTTCCCCTCACCATGGCTGGCTCAGGAATTCTGGGAGTTGAAGTCCACAAGTCATAAAAGAGCCAAGGTTGCCTACCCCTGAACTAGATGATCAATTAGACAGTAGAAAAAACTGAAATAATGCAGAACATGTGGAGTCTGACTGATTGACCAAAGAATGTAACTCAGAAAACACCTTCAACAGGCTGAAGGAGAATAATCTGCTTTCTTCCTCTAGGATTCTATTAGAAAAATTCATATAGTGAAAGAATTTGATGGCCTCAAGGTGTTTTGGGTTCTGTTCCCACCATCCTCAATCATTATAAGCAAAGGCTGTGACATCCCTAGTTTTCAACAAAGAGTACCAGGTGGTCTAATACAAGTGTCTGGACTGTACTATTTGGCTTCTGAATACTGGCATTTCTGCATTTTCAGCTTCAATGTGACTCAAGTACTTTTTTAGTTTAAAAAAATCCATAAACATAATGGCTCCAGTCTATTAAAATTGCTCCTAGAGATGATGCAAACTGCACATAATGGAGTACTTAAAAAACAAACATCTAAGCATCTTACATAAGAAATTTAATATCAGCTATGATAGTTTTCAGAAGTATCTGTCCACAAAAATGCTTTCAGATATCCACAGATATCAAATATAGACTTAGGCAGCCCGATCAATTGTATTACAAGAATGGATTCCAAAATTTATTTCTAAAAACCACACCATGGCTATGGTGTTTCCTGTGATAGCTGCAGGCTTAAGCCAGCCCCGTGATCTACTGTGCCCAACAACTATCTCATACCAACAGAATGCTTGGTTTCCTAAATTTAAAATATGTAAATATTCAGAAAAAAAGAAAGGATTGCAGAAGTAAGAGGTTAAGTGTACCATTTTTTTAAAAAAAAAATCTTATATTTAAGGATACTAATTAGATGGATATAGTGCCTCGGTTCTAATTTACATGAAAGCTGGGACATGACCACTGAAGTAAAGACAAAGATAGAGAAAGCTGAAACAGCATTCTTCAAAATGAAAAAGGTCTTCTGCAGTCGCGATATAAGCCTAAGATTGAAAATCAGCTTGTCAGATATTTTTTCTATCCTGCTTTATGGAGTAGAGAGTTGGTCTCTGACAGAAGGCCACCTGAAGAGACTAGAAGCATTTGAAATGTGGATTTACAGGAGGCTGTTACATATAAGCTGGGTTGACAAGATCAGAAATGAGGAGGTGATAAGCCGCCTGGGAAAGCCAAGGGAAATCATCAAAACAATTAAAAAACAAAAGTCAGAATATTTTGGACATGTGATGCGACACCCAGAAAAATATCGCTTACTCCATTTAATCCTCCAGGGAAAGATTGAAGGCAAACGAGGTCCAGGCAGAAGAAGAACACCATGGCTTCAAAATCTAAAGGACTGGTTTGGACAAAACACAGCAGCACTTTTTTGCTGCTGATAAAAATAGGATCGCCAACATGATCGCCAACATCCAATAACGGATATGGCACAAGAAGAAGAAGAAGTGCCAGTTTGGTGTAGTAGTTAAGGCATCAGGCTAGAAACCAGTGGACCATGACTTCTAATCCTTCTTTAGGCCCAGCCAACTGAGTGACTTTGGCCCAGTCACTCTCTCTCAACCCTAGGAAAGAGGTCACGGCGAACTACTTCTAAAAAAATCTTGCCAAGAAAACTACAGGGATTTGACCTTGCAGTTGCCAGGAGTTGACACTGACTCAAAGGCCAAAAAAAAAGAAAGAAAGAAAGAAAAAAGAACAGAATAAAATAATGATTGTAATGCTCCTTATATGGTTAATGATTGTAAACTCCTGATATACATAAATCTATGTGAAGATCTTCACCCTGATGTCCTAGCTTTTGGGCAAGAAGCAGACTTCTTGCCTAATATGACTTTAAGAAGACAATCTAGACATTAATGGTGCTTACTTTGTTTATTGGGATGTATCCCCACTGGCTTCAGTTTCTATAAAAGCATTGGTTACCCAACCCTGCATTATTCTATGTCACTATTCACCAGAGCACCAGAGGGAAGGACGAGAAACAACGGGTGGAAGCTGATGAAAGAAGCAACCTGGAATTAAGGAGAAACTCCCTGACAGTGAGGGCAATCAACCAGTGGAACAGCTTGCCTCCAGAAATTGTGGGCGCTCCATCACTGGAGATTTTTAAGAAGAGACTAGACATTCACCTGTCTGAGATGGTATAGGTCCTCCTGCTTGAATAGGGGGCTGGATTAGAAGACATCCAAGGTCCCTTCCAGCTCTATTCTATTCTATATAAGTTCATCCTCAACTGTTCACAGGTTTCTGCAGGTAGCAGCTACAGAGTTATTGAGAATAGTCAATTACACACTTGATGAAATTATAGGTAGTCTTTGAGTTACAAGCATTTGTTTAGCAACCATTTGAAGTTACAACAGCACTGGGAAAAGTGACTTATGACCTGTCCTCACACTTATGACCCACTGCAGCATCCCGATGGTTACAGATCAAAATTTGGGTGGTTGGCAAACAACATGTATTTATGATGGTTG